TAATTAAATCAACAAACCGTTATCATAGATAGCCCACAGACTACAAAAATGGCATTTACCAATTAGCCAGCTAAGTATTTCTCTCCAGTGTTACATACCACTATGTAAGGGGGTTAGGTGAGGATGTTTTTCTGAGTCTTCGAGTCTTTTACCTAAAATTATTCTCAGTTTCAACATCTGCTTGAACTCCCATTCTTGTGTAAGAGATGTTACCCATCTTTGCCTATAATTTCACTTGGTCCAAAACCTATTTTCTGTTAATTTTATTGTAAATATTTTTTCTAACTCCAGCTAGCATCTAGCATCTAACTTAAAGCCGTTTTTCTCCAGAACATTTTTCAGGCCTTACAAACCCACGCTCACTCACAGTAGATACTGCTGCATGTCCCAATCTTTTTCTTTTGTTTTTTAAGCTTTTTTAAGTAGCCTCCTCTGATGGAGGAATGCAATCCCTTATTTCCATGTGCTTTTCTGCATGTATGTGCGTGCCCATGTGTATGCCTGCATGTGAATACATATATGAACGTGTGTATGTGTGTATGTTTTGACTGTTTCCTTTGGGTGTATGTTTCTGGTTCTTTGGATCTAAATAAAGAAAAATGCATTGTCATGTAGTAAAACCTTATATAGTATCTGTTTCAGCAGGTGTATAACACCAAATCAATTTGATATAAAAGTACCTCCTTTTCTGCATAATTGTAAATTCTCAGAGGAGAGAAGGCAGAGGCAATATGAGACAAGGTATCAGAAACCATGAGATGGTGGCCCTCACACTCACTCAAACTACTACTTGTTTAAAACCAAGTCTGAGGATGGCTGTTGTACATAATGGGCCACAAAATCTCTCTATTTTCTGCACAAGTGCTGATATGTCATAGTGTCAAGTCAGGAGGGACATCTATGTCTAGCTACCAAATCTCTTCACACAGCTGGGGCTACTCAGGCCCAAGGCCCTCTCTCAACATGAGGCAGGAGGAGTGGGAAGAGCTCTGGTCTACCCTGGGAGCTGGCCCAGGTTTTACCTTTTGTCCCTATTCTAAACGACATCCTTACCTTGTACCTGGCTCTGCATTCCTGTGCCTGAGTGTCCCCAGTGCTGTTTCTCACTCTTACCCCTCTGTCTCCGCACAGAAGCTGCGGTCCTTCTACCTGCTAATCCGCTCCAGCTGCCACGTGCCCACTTGCTCTTTCAATCTTGCAACCAGACCTCTACAAATGCATAAGGACACCTCCAGAACCTCATAGACCGCCAGGATTTTCACATCGACAGTCTTACTAGTCTGTGCTATTGACCTGCCGTGCTCTCTGGACACCATGGTTTGCCCGATGGATTAGACGCCGTCTTGGCACCTGCATTGAGGCCCACCCTCTAGCTGCTCTCAACGTTGTTGCCTCCTTTGCACCTCACTCGTGTCAAATAACCTCAGCAGGTGGGACGTGTTTTCAGTTTGTGACATGGGAGGCCGTGTTACCTCTTTTTCTTTTTCACTTCTGGTCACATCACTGAATAAATGATAGTCTAATTGAACACCAAGATACAGTTGTTGCCATGGATACCTGATTATAATATTGGGGATAAATTCAGTGATGGTGCTTCCCAAAAACAATTTGATGCACTAGACTTCTAGCTTCTCTGCCTATGGATATGTGTTTGTTATTTCTCTTCTTAATGCAAAAAGTAAATGGTTTATATTGTTTTTAAGAGTGGTGATATAAACAGAAACTGGATAGTATCTTATTATGGAATAAATACCTGCAGGATCTACGCTAAAAGAATGACATTAGATATGTCTAAAAGGACCATTTCTTCTAGAGTTTTTAACACAATTTCGATTTGCACAATTTTATTATTTTTAAGAAAATGTAATACTAAATATGATCTAATTTGTATATCTTTCTAAAGCTTATCTTAAAATGTAAGTTAGAAAAATAATCTTTTTTAAGTATATATATTTCTATGTTAGACCAACAACCCAGTTTTCATCATGGAAACTAAACTACCTAATTCTAGGATTTAATATTTTTTCCTGTACAGCCTCTCAAATGTCATCTTCTCTAGCTATCTTTCACACTTAACATTTTTCCCATATGAACTATGTGATCAAGTAAATGTTTATTCCCTTAGAGCTGAGTTTTTCAACCTTGACACTATTGACATTTTGGGCCACATAATTCTTCGTCGTGGTGGCTGTTCTGTGTATTGTAGGATGTTTAGCAGCATCCCTGGCCTCTACCCACTTGTTGCCCGTAGTAACCACCCCCTCCAAGTTGTGCCACTAAAAATGTCTCCAAACATTGTTAAATGTCACCTGGGGAGGTGGGATGTGGGAAATTATCCCCAGTTGAAAACCACTGCCTTAGAGCACTTAAAATCCCTCAATAAATAATGATGATGATAATGACGATGATGACCCCACTATTCTCCAGGACTTGAACCTAAGTCTTTCGATCCTCCAGAAGGACCCCTGCCATACATTAGGCTTGTTCTTTTCTTCCACTGAGCTTTTGGGTAATAAACCCAGAATTGATTTCAATGCCTAAATGAAACTTTCTCTTCCTAGTTCAACCCTCATTAACGGCTCATTTAAAAATATCCCAAAAGCCTGGGAGTCTTGCAATTCGAAAAAAAGATGTGGTAAATATTTAACCTTTCATGGAATCACGTTGTTTATATTACATTTATGTAGATTTCTATGTGTTGAAGGACCATGTAGTAATTTGCTTTATCTTTCAAATAATCACTTTGTGATGTCAGTCCTACACTTCCATAGATTTCGATATTTTAAAGTTTGACATTTCTTTGCCTGGAGCATAGTGCCCAAGAATTTAGTATTTCCCAAATTTGAATTTGAATCTGGACTTCCATTTACTAGTTAGGAGGCATTAGGAAAATGATTAAAATTCTCTCAGTTCTAGCTCCCTCGTCTACAAAAGAGGAAGAAGCTGGCACATATTAGGGACCTAATAAATATTTGCGGTGTGGATGAAAGGGAAGGTTAAATGACATAATGTAAAGTGGTTAGCATAGGCACTCACTAAATATTAAAAGAATGAGAAGGTAACCCACAGGCGCTAAACAGTAGGTGCTCAGTAAATCATGGTCCCTCCTCGCTCCTTTGAATAGTTGCAGGTCTACATTGCCTGAGCCACACCCACCCCACCTTCTGAATTTTCTATACATGCAGTTTGATGTGTGATCGTCTTCATTTTTTAATCAATGGCTGGCCTTGAAGGCCTAGATTATTTCTCACTTTGAGAACCACTGAACACTTGTGGATTAATGAAGGGTTGAAGAAGGCGGGGGTCATTCAGTTCTCAGTAACCCCGATATCCACTTTTACACACGCTTAGCAAAGGTAGACCAAAAGTCCCTCTATCTGACATGAAAATCTCTAGATTCAAGACCTGAGCAATAATTAAAATGGTAACAAAAATTGATAATAAGAGTAACATCCGCACAATTAACATTACCCAGGGCTTTCTATGTGCCGCACATTGTGCTGAGTGTCTGAGTGTGTCAAGTGCTTTACAAGGTTTACCTTGTTTAATGTGGAAACAAGCCTGTGTCAATGGCATGAATAGTCTCCCTATTTTACAGAACAGGCCCAGAGAGAGTAAATGTCTTGTGCGAGATTACACAGAGAGTGAATTTCAGACACAGAACTTCTCAGCTAGACTGAACTGGAGATGAGGCACAGAAGCATTAATGTTTATAACCTTAGACATATGAATATATTGTTCTATACCTTAGCTTTCTCTTCTGTAAAATTGAAATTAATAATAAAATTTGCTTTCCTTACTTCAAGAGATGATTGATTGGAAGTATCAAATGAGAAGAAATTTGTAAGACTACATCATAAACAACAGAACACTCTACAAATATTACTCATGATTAAAAATAGAAAGGTAAGCCCTGAGACCTCGTGCTCAGAAAGGAAGGCCGAACACTGTCCCTGAGGTGTTTATCATTGGTGCATCTGCCTTCCCACCTTTGCAGAAGTCAACACTTACGGAACAGAGCTCCCTCACTGTGGTGTCCTGAAGGACTTTCAAAGTCTTCATGAACTGGGCTTCCGGGTGATCAGTATGTGAGTATAGGCAATGCCTACAGACTGAGGGGGCAGGGCCAGGGCTTTGCCTCTCCCTGGGGCAGTGGCAATGGTGACAACAGCAGACACAGCAGTGGGCAGGAACAGTGTGGCAGATGCCCCCTGGGTAGATCTTAGGGAAGCCTGTGTCTAGAGAGACAGATTTGGTGAGGGGCTGGGGTCCGTGTGTCAAGGCCTTGTTACTTGGGGCTGAACAGAAATGCCAGGGCCTGGGCTCCCATGCAGATGTTTGAATGGAAGCATCCTTGAACTGTCTTTCTTCTGGCCCCAGTCTTGGCCCTGTGGTGACAGGGTCACACATAGTACATTCTAAAGATGTTCCTTTAGAATAAGTCCCCAAGGCCACAGCACTCTGAGCAGCTGACACCAGATTGGAGGACAGCTGGGTTGTCACAGACTTGGAGCTGCCAGTGTTTGAGTCAGCATTCGGATGAAGGTTTTCCAGCCCAGCTTCTGTCCTGGGTGGCATTTGACCCAAAGCACTACATCTTGGCTTCACCTGGGCAGTCTCTCCAGGCAGTTTATGGAGGTGGGGAATGGACTTTTCGGATGTTTGAACAAGGTCAACTGTATACGGCACAACTTCACTGTGCTTGGGGACATGCTGGGGTGGACTTTCTCCTGCCAGAAAGGTGTTGTTGGTGCCAGGACAGAATCTGCAGCTTTCCTCTTCCCGTGGGGCCTCAGAGTCTAAGTGAGGGAACTTGTCTCGAGCGTGGTCATTTCCAGGTGACCTGTGAGACTCACAGTGGTGGCTTTGCACGTGCACTTCTCCAGCTCTCTCGGGCCTCAGAAACCCGTCCTTCGTTTTTGTGATATGCGTCACCATAGACCCCAAAGGGCAATCACATTTAGGAGTATCTGTGGCTCCAGTGACCTCGTATTCAGCGTGGGGAGTTGGCAGAGGCTGCTGCAGCTGGCTGTCTTTCCTTGGGTGCTCTCCACCAATGGGGGTTTTGGTAAGAGTCAGGTCTGGGGTCAACAGCTCTGGTGACCCCTCCATGGCCTCAAGCTGAGACTCTTCCTCCATCACAGATATTGAGGCCTTTTCTTCCAACATACTCCAGTCTTGGCTTGAAAAGGACGTGCTCATCATACTCCTGGAATCAGACTCGTCTGACTCGTGCTGACAGTCCTGGGGTGGTGGGAGGCTGCGGCTCAGATCCCTCGGCTTTCCACCTGTGTTCTCAGCAGGACGTTGGCTGCTCGGCAGGGACGGCATCTGTAGGAGAAATCAGGACAAAGGCAAGTGGGTCAGAAAGCGAGGGAGGCGATAGGTTTAAGCAGATTTTTTTTCTTGTCATTACCATTGATTCAGGAGTCAGGAGATAAGGTCTATAAACTCAAGCTTTATATCAGTTTGATACTTTGCCTAGGACCTCGTCTCTATGAGACTCAGCTTTCTTGGTTAGAAAAATCAAAAGAAGTAAAAAGGAAAGGAAGTCTGAGCTCCCTGGCACTGTGTCTAATGGATTCCATCATCCTCCATTCCCTGGGCGTATGTGGCATGTGTCTTTTCTGGTTGTGGTGGGCACCTTAAGCTATCTTTCTTTCTGAGTTAGCTGTGAGTGAGGTTAGGGTGGCAGGGTGGTTGATAGGGCTGAAGTGGCCGTGAGGGATGGGCACCCAGGGCCCTGTTGCACCCTCCTACCTGCAGGGGCAGTGGCTCTAGGGGCTCCTCCAGGAACCCGCTGCTGTCAGACTGACAGCTGTTGGCTCTGTCCACCCTGGCACCTGCGGAAGGAAAGAGGCCTTGAGGTCAGTAAAGTGGACACGTGCTGCCAGCAGGACTGGGATCAGGCCCTACAGGTGCCTGGCAGGCCACAGACCCTCAGTGAATGCCCACTGCATGGAAATATAAACAAACGAGGGAATTCCAAGGATAGTTCTTTCTCAATTGTCAGAGAGTTCATGTAAAACTGCATCACTTTTAAAAAAGAGTAAAACATGAAAAGAATAAAACATGAAACAAAGGAAGGGGAACCAACACCTTTTAAAACTAAATAACATTATGGTTGTGAGATGAATCTTTACTAAAGGGAAGAAAATCCAGAAGGAAACACATGTGCTTTAAATGCTACACTAATAAAACAATTAAAAGACAAAAAATTTGTGTGTGTGTGTGTGTGTCAGAGAGTTCATGTAAAACTGCATCACTTTTAAAAAAGAGTAAAACATGAAAAGAATAAAACATGAAACAAAGGAAGGGGAACCAACACCTT